GTTGAAAATATCAATTGGTAATATAGGGGTATGTGTTGCAAATATCAATTGGTAATATAACGGTATGGGTTGAAAATATCAATTGGTAATATAGGGGTATGGGTTGAAAATATCAATGGGTAATATAGGGGTATGGGTTGAAAATATCAATGGGTAATATAACGGTATGGGTTGAAAATATCAATTGGTAATATAACGGTATGGGTTGAAAATATCAATTGGTAATATAGGGGTATGGGTTGAAAATATCAATGGGTAATATAACGGTATGGGTTGAAAATATCAATTGGTAATATAACGGTATGGGTTGAAAATATCACTGCGTAATATAGGGGTATGTGTTGAAAATATCAATGGGTAATATAGGGGTATGGGTTGAAAATATCAATGGGTAATATAGGGGTATGGGTTGAAAATATCAATTGGTAATATAGGAGTATGGGTTGAAAATATCAATGGGTAATATAACGGTATGGGTTGAAAATATCAATTGGTAATGCCGGGGTATGTGTTGAAAATATCAATGGGTAATATAGGGGTATGGGTTGAAAATATCAATGGGTAATATAGGAGTATGTGTTGAAAATATCAATGGGTAATAGTTGTAAATATTCCTTGGGAATGTACTGTGTTGGTTGAAAGCATTCCTGTAGGATTTGGGTTGAAAGTATCCATGGGTAATGTAAGGTATTGATTGCAAATAATCCTGGATAATGTACTGTGTGGGTTGAAAGCATTCATGTTACTGAAATACATGTGTCATTATACATTTAAACGGGGCCTTGGCGTGTTTTTTCTTCTTTATTTACATAATACGATAATACGAGCCCAAATATCCAAGTGATGTTTATAGAATATATAATTAGCTTGATTTGTAGACCACTACCATCTAAACTTTGAATTTCAGCCACGAGGTCCCTAAGGTTTTTACAGTGCTCACAAACTTCAAATTGTACTATAAAAGTGTAGCTTCTTATTTGGGTTGAAGGAAATCAGATGTTTGCCTTTTATTACCTGGTACATGAAATATGAGATCTATGAATAAATTAAGGCGATAAAAACAACTTTTATGTGTTGCGGAATACTTTAAATATCGGGTATAAAACGGGCTGTGAGGAAGACGACAAACGTCATCTTTGCATCACCTTTGCTTTCGCCTCTAGGGGGCGTTGGTTAATGACGTCACTAATGAACATGATCTCGCACCCATATCGCTATTGTATACACGTACCTATTCTATTCTAGTTTCATTTTTTGTTTGTTTTTAACTATCTATAATTATATGCATAATAATAATCTGACCTTTTGATCTAGATTTGACTGGGATGGAATAGTTTATTTTAAACAATATTCTGAAGTTACTTACTGCTACAAAAAGTATTATATGATTGTCTGATTTGCAAAGTACATTGGTGTAATTTCTGTGTTTCCTTTCCTGATTGTTGACTCTTGAAGATGTGTTCACGATTTGTAAAATTATTGGGTTTTCCCAAAGAAGAAAACATGGAAAATCATGAAATTAATTAAAGAGCTCCAGGCATGGACTGAGTGAAAGAAAATATTCCCAGGATTAACATGAATCATAACATTACACCTCGTGTATTTGTTAATTTTGCATATGTTTGGAATTTCATTATGTTTGTAATCTCGTCTTTCGATGATTGTTTGAAATGCGTATCGACCGTGTCCCGGTAATAATTTGTTTGGAATGTTGATCGTCGTCGGTTTCTGCATGCTGAGTTTAGAACGGCGGGTCCGTGACTAATGACTCAGTGAATTTATAATATTTTCTGGAATCTAACATTTTGGTTTTTTGGCGTAATTTCAACTGATGAATTTGCGGCAAGTAATCACAATTTAAAGTTTAGCTGTAGTTTTCAAAGCTATGCTTGTGGTGGCAACATCGCTTTTTAAAAAAATAGGATTTTGCAATAAATGTTAGTACATCATGAATTATATCAATGATGGTTAGTTGTTATTGGATGAATACGATAGACATGATAAGAAAATGTGTCTTGTGGTATTGCTGCCAACAATACGATGAGAATCTTCCTCATGTATATTTAAACATGGTCTTTTTTAGCTCCATGATTTAAAACTGTCATCGTTCATTTCACAAAAAGGCAATCCGACGATTTTGCGCCACACACGTTCGTAACTTGCGCCAACAACAACAAAATGTGTGAGTGAAGCCAAGTTGTTTGAAATTGTTTTATATGTTTAAATATGTGTTTACTATTTACTGACATTTCAGTTTTTCAGGTCATGACATTCCCTTGCGGATCAATAAAACTTTAAACAAGTACCAGCAACTCAATACTGAATAAAAATGAAACTAGGATTTTAATTTAAGCAGATAGTGACACGCCCCGTTTTGCCTATCCTGTGGGGCAAAACTAAAATGCCACTGCTGCGATGGAGAGTCATGACTCGGAGTGTTCATATAAGATGGTTCTGATAGAATAGTTTTCTCTTTCTATAATTTTTCATCGCTTTTTGACCAAATGGACATAATTTTTTATTACCCATAAGTCTAAGTAATCGTAATATGCCGTCGACGTCCTTACCCTTGACATTTCACTACATCTTATTCTGAAGAGTTCTTATTTGTGTTAGAGATATTTATAGAGATATGCGTATTAATCGTTATTTGCTACTCGAACGTTGCCATTGTGAATGTCAAGTTTTTTCAACAAATTTTATTGAGTGCAATTCGAGTTTTTACAATTAATCAATAATAACAAACCATTGTTTCTGTGGTTATTTTTTAAAACTACGGGTGTGTTACATTATACATGTTGTAGTATTTTTGTAAGAAAAGAACGAATAACTCACAAATTAGTTATCATTTACCACGAATTTGATAGCGTTGTGCCCAGTTTCGCGTATTTTTGAAGCAAAATCGAGTAAACTAGAGCTTGTAATTGTTTAGGGATGGTTAAAGTATCTCCGAGTCTGGGTGACGTCATAATACTGTATATAGGGTTTCAGTACTCAACTTACACAGACTACGAACGCCAATGTTACGTAATAGGTCACATGACTGTACTTGCGATGGGAATGTTTGTAAACATTTTTTCCTATCAAAGTGTAATGTTACTGGTGAAGAACCGTTGCTCGAAGTGTCTAGTTATTTTGATAATTTTATGTGCACCATTTATTTATTGGTCGTAGTAGCTCTTAAATTTCGAAGTTCTGAATAAAATTTAAATTTTGTTGCACACATCCATCCATACATGGGAACGGGTAAGAGTGCAATCCCAAAGAATCATTGGAATTTGAAGGCCGAGTTTTTCACGGTCATCGAGTACGATTCATACTGGTCGTCTGTCCCATAATAAATTGCATGGCAATCGTTTCGAGCAAGACTTGTGGTCATTCGTCGAACTCCGACGCACCTTCCGAGGATGATCGAACATCATTTGGAGCATTCGTAACGTTGGTAATGTGTTCGAATTCTGGAGCACATATGTGCGGTGGAATGCAATAGGGAAAACATCGAATATACCCCATTCGAAGCCATTGTCGTTGCGACTGTGTTGAAAGTAGCAGCCTCACCCAGAGCTCGTAGTCAGTGTGAACATTTCATCAAACATTGTGGTTCCAAGTCATGGGAAACGGCCAGTCAAAAGTTCGCAGAAACGTCAAAATGTACATTGACCCAGTTACTGAACATCTGACTAAAGGAGACAGTATAAAACTCAAAGTCATTGAAAATGGAGAATCGAAAGTGATCATCAACGAAGTTCAAATACATACTAAACCACATCTTAAGACGGACGAAATGCAGGCTAGAGGAGATAGTATGAAACTTCTACACCATGCCATTGTGACGGGCGATTTGGAGGACTGCGAGAGGTATTTGAAAGAGGGCGTTCCGGTGAACGATCCATTAAATCTTGGCTATCGAATCATATATAAAGGAAACAACAAATTCCGGGACAACGGAACACGGGCGCTGCATTGTGCCGTTATTTACAGGCGACCAGATTTCGTCGATCTGTTGCTGAAATACGGTGCTGATCCAAACATCGAGGATAATTTGGGACGAAGACCCGTGCATCTGGCGATTATTTATTGGCCTCGGGGTGCCGCAGTTTTTGACATTCCTGATGAGACCACGAACAATACTGTCGGGCTTGAAGAGAAGAAGTATTGCAGTTACATGAACAATCTGCAGAAAAAGTGTGCTAAGATGCTAGAAAGTTTGATAGTTCATGGAGCTGACGTAAATTTTCCGATGCAGAGTGAGTTTTCTCCTTTGCATTTAGCCGCTTATTACAACACTACTGGGTGCATATCAACGTTGGTCAAATACGGAGCTGATCTCGATGCATGTGTGAAAAGACCAGACTACGCCACGCCTGGTATCTTAGCATCTCTGAGCGCGCATCCTGCTGTTTTACGGGCACTCATCGACTGTGGTTGCGATATTTCTGCCACATTAAACGGGCAAAATTTATTACACGTGGCTGCTAGTAATGGAAAGCATTTAAACAACGCTGCTGACTGTGTGCGCATTCTGTTGAAATGTGGTTTCGGTGTTGATGACAAAGATGAAGACGGAATGACAGCCTTGCATTACGCCGCACGCAACGCAAACGCCAAAGCTATCGATTTGTTACTTGACCACGGCGCTAATGCAGATATCGTCAACGATCGCGGCAACACAGCAATCTTCGAGGCATTCGACAACCCGTGTAGCTTTTATCAACTAACAGTACATACGTTTCTCCGGTTGATCATGGAAACGCTGAATCCCAACTTGCGCCAGGGTCACCTCCCAAAAGCGTTTACTGTGTCAGATAGCAGAATGAAGGCGACGCCAATCAAAATGTATCTAATGGACAAATCAAAAGACCCAGCTTCTCTACAGATGTCATGTAGGAACGTGATCAGAAGACACCTGGCCAGAACCACGTCAGCCGAAGTGTCATCTCAGATGGTGACACAGTTACCTCTTCCACAACGCATTATACGTTTCATTGCTGAGAATGGCAAGCAAATTCAAGAAACGCTCGATCACTTGTTGGATTATTCAAAGCTCAGAAATCAATCAACACCGACAAGCCTGAGAGTCAACTGCTAATTTTACTGAATATTCCTTTCTGCTTGGGCACAGCTTACGTATTTAGTTTGATGCATGGTCATATCAAGATTTTTTTTAGTTTAATTTTTTGTAGTTTAGTTTAGTTTAGTTAGTTTTATTTTGTTTTCGTGAGGATATTTTAATTTCAGTGACATTGTTAATGCACGTTATTATGGAAGTTTGAATGGTTTTCTCAAGTTCATCAAACTCGTAATCAGTGCCAATATACGCATTTATAGCAGATACGCTTGACCTTTGACATATACATTTTGAAATCTTCTTACGACTATTTATTTCCGGTATGATTTAACATTATTGTGCTTTTACCTCCGACTGAGTCGGTGTTAACTGTGTTTGTAAAAACAAAAATAATGTATCAAAGACTAAATTTCAGATTTTTAATCGTATAATTGTGGGTTGTCTGTTCCCTGGCAACAGAAATTACAATAACGTTTCTGAAATAACGATGAAAATTGATGTCAAGGATCTAATATCATGGAACTGAAATAAATTTCCTGGTATGCGAGACGAACACATTTTGTTATCAAATTTAATCATCGTAGACAATTATGTATATTACTTATTAGTTCAGTAATTTATTTATTTAACATCATAAACGATACGAAACACCTTTCGGCGTATCGTATCGTTTATGATTTTAGTTATTCTCATATGAGTGCGCTCAGCGGTAAGCCCCAATCGGTAGGTTGAATATCAATAATGAAATATGCGTGAAGGAATATTAACAAAACAGGTTTCTACATTCTCAATTTTTTTTAAAGAAATGTAAATATTGCTGTAATTATAATTGAAATATTAAATATCAGTATTCAATACAGTACAACGCAGTCATTTGTCACAGTACTAATCACCGGACCACGGTTACTAAAAAAGATTTTCTTTAGTAACCATGACCGTAGGAAGTACTTTAGGATTGGTTGGAGATTTTTTAAAGTTTTAACATTTTCAACTTTGATGAGTTCCACTGTAGCCTTGGTTTGTGTAGAAAGTATATAGTTATGTGATATTTACTTGTATGCTATCTGTATCTACACGCGATGATCAAGCACAAACCGCCGTCGTTTTAGTATTCCGCAGATTCAACTTATGGCGCCCTCTATGATCACAAACTTATATTACCTTTACCTGGTAAATAAGTAACAAATTAGTTCAATAGTTGTAGGTCATGTGTGTAGGTGATTGTACACTCAACATATTAAAGAAGCTGTATTGTCAGATATATTTGGTTTGTAGAATACTAACATATGTACTGAATATCAATTATGCAACAATTACAGTATATGCAAGATATCATGGTCAAAAATTGCTATTAAACAACATAACATTGTCAAGCATTTTTGTAGATTCCGCTGATTGAATTTTTAGCATCAACAAGTCCATTAAATAGCATGTGAAACTGATGTCTCCCTGATGATGCATACCTAAATATTCAAAATTTGATAAGAAGCATGTTAGGAATTTGTTTGATGAACAACCAATTCTAAAGTAGTCCTATCCCTTCTTCTCTAAATTTATACATGTTTTAGAAGATTTCATAGAATTTGTTGCCACTGCGTCCAAGTGAACATGAACTTTACATACTTTCTATGCTAGTTGTGTTGAGCATGTTTTAAAATCAGGATTTGAAACAAGCGATGCAATGTCAAGAAATAAATCAGTCAGGTACTAACATGCATAACTTGCGAACACTGATTCCAATTCATGACGTAATAACTGCCGATTAAAATTCATGGCTCATTTTACTACATTATATAAAATAAGTTTAACAGATAATACAGTTTTAAAATAATCTGATCTGTAGTCTCAAGATTACAAATTATCTTTAATCTTTTCACTACTGTAAAACATTTTTTTAGCTACCATGTTATTATTTAAGCTAATCTGTAATTACACTAATTCAAGATTTAGATAATTTAAAATGAAGTATACCCTCATAATAAAATTGTTTACACTTCAGCTAAATTAGGATTATGATTAATATTTCTTGCATTTAGCCGAATTTGCCATAATGACATGTAGGTTTTTATAGTATAGTGAGATATACCAGTCACTGATCAAACTGTGACATCCTACTGTGGTTAAGTTTGTGGTTAGAGATGAACAGGTAATTTTAAGTAAAAAAAAAGAATAGCATTACAGTGGCAATTATTGTTGGGTCAATTTTATCTCCCAGTCAATAGGTAGGTGTGTTTTCCACAGCATTTCACAATGCATGCAATGCTCTTCTCTGGAGATATTCAGATTCAGATATATTTATTTTTGGCAAAAGATGTGATTTCTTTTTTTCTTTACTTTACTTTTTTCTTTCACATCACATCACACCACACCAGCAAACAATGATTGAATTCAGAAAATTTGTTATTTTTTAGAAATGAGGTAAAAACTAGAAAATACAATACAAAAATCACTTATCTTTATTGACAATGCAAATGTATATTTGTACATAGAAATCAATTTTTAGCTGTCTGAAAATACCAATAAAACCTTATATATAAGTATATTTAGTTTCACATTGTGAGATTCAAGTCTAAACAAAACACTAATTGTGCTTTTCATTTCATTTTCATGAACATTATTAACGTTCAAAAATTGTCACAGTCAATGAAACCTTAATAAACAGGCACAACTTAAACATCCTTCCAAACTTTTTCTTCCTGTCTACTTCTTCTTCTTTTTTCCACTCTTTCCTTTACCCTTCTTCCCTTTCTTTTTCTTTCCTTTGAGTTGTTTGCGACACCTGAATGACCTCCAGAATGACTGGATGACAGTAGCAGCTTTTATCATCATCTGTAATTCTCTCTCTTCCCGTTCTTTCTTTTCCTGAGCGATGCGACGCTCTTCCACTATTGTCTTATACTCTTCTTCCAGAGTTTTGAATCTTTCCTCTAGTTCATTAAGTTGTGCTTTCTCTTCAGTGTAAACAGCATCCACTTCCTCATATTCGTCCTATCAAAGAAAGATGCAAATTCAAATTTCACTACAGAAAATAAAATTGAGTTGACAACACACAGAAATTTGCAGCTCTATGGAATATAGAGTATACAAATTGATTGTTTAATCTTATATGTTGACAAAGGTTAGGATATATAGACGATAATAGATAAAAAGCTTAGTTCCTAGTAGTCAATAGTGCACATCCATCAGAATGAGTGAAAGATACAATACACCAATCACCAATGTGTAAGACCTGCTTATCTAGTAGTGAATATCCTTAGTAATCAATTCAACTGTCAATCACATAAAACTCATAAATATAAAGTAGTTTTAAATATGAATACCCAAACAATGCCAAACAGTGACACAAGCATTATTTTCATGACATTTGATTTCATTATGCCAAAAAAATATCCTTTATAGTTTAGTTGGCAATACATTGATAAAACATACCTGCCGTTCTCCCATATCAGCATCATACTTCTGTATCCAGTTCTCAACTTCTGTTTCAACTTTATATTTACGCTATGAAACAAACATGGTGCACTTTGTTAAACAACAAGTTTAACCCTGTTACATTGTCATTTTCAAGACAGTGCCCTCCTTCCCATAAATGAGTGCAATGGATTACAATAACAAAAATACAGTAAGAGTAGATATTCTGATTATTGAATGCTCAGTGTATCAAGCCAATCAGTGCTAACAATAACTTTTCAATTGTCGCTGGTGAAAATTAGTGTTTGACTCATAAACACAAATGCTATCAAACTATTATTTTGGTCTCTAAACAAACGTGAATTTGCAAAAATATTTCTGAAAGAGTGGTTCACATAAGAATAGTTGTCTTTATAAACAACTTGCTAATATGAGACTGCCTTAAACTTGAAGTGGTCATATGTTGGTGGTGGTCACACATGGTGGTGGTCACTGTAATGTAGTAGTTATTACAAACAAACATATGTACAAATATAAATGACCTTTTACCTTTCTTAATGTTAATTCGGTTTCTCGATGTTCAGCAATCATATTTGCCAGCTGTGTGCGTAATCCTGACAGATCTGTTTGCAGTCTTTGTTGTTTGCCTTCAGAGTTCCTCAGGTCAGCTTGCTGCTGTTTATCAGCTTCAGATTTAGTTCTACGGATGTGTTCTTCTGAGAATTTCTCAATTTGATGAAGATCAGCTTTCAGGCGACGAATCACATCATTTCTCTTAGAGATCTGTCAACAGATAAATGATAATGAAAAGTTAATTTATTTTCAATTATTTATAAACTAAAATAACTGGTTGTTCACCTTAGCATGCACATTGTATTAAACCATGCCTACGGTTACATGTATATATAAAGAAGGATGGCCGCTGGAATTTCAGTATGCAAATCGCTCAATTGTGGTACATTGATACATGTTGCTCTGCAAAATATGCATGTACACAAATAAATCAATGTAAAGTTATGTGTTAATGCATCGGAAACACACCTTGTATAGCTTTTATAAAATGTAAAATAACACATACTTCCTTGGAGATGTGCACACACAAAGAGATACTAGGGGTTACATGGGTCGTAAACTTGTATGGTTCACATTTTTAAGCAGCAGTGGAGTAGAATGTTGTCTTGGAGGGTGAAGTCATGAATGAAGTTATGATAAGGGAAGACGAAATGGTGTTCACTCACTGTTGTTAAAAAAGACGACCCAAGCAACTTATTGCCCACCATTGGCCGAGATTCAATCATTGGTGGGTTTGACTTGCCTGGTTGACACAGTTGTGGTCATGTGAACTACATCACACAGTCATATCATGAAGTCAAAGACTGGCAAAAGAACACTTTGGGGGGGGGATTATTTAGTGATCAGGCAGAATTTTATGATCCTTCTAAGAGTTTGAAAATCTAACTATGAAATATTTTTTCAGATAAAACAAAAATCCAGACTTTGCCAGTTAAACTTGGCTCAAACAAGTCATGTAAAAACAAATATTGGGGCAGTCAATTTGAAAACTCGCTAGCAAATTGGATAACTGCTTTGTTTTTGACAAAACTATTGGCTTTCGAATATCGCTGGCGCCGTCTGTTTGTCACGCTCACTCTGGAAGAATCTATATAACAGTATATAGGGGATAGTCTTACAGTTGGTTGACAATTTCGCATTTAAATATGACAGGGAAAGTGTTCTATGTTCTTAGTGTAAAGTGAGGTGTTCGGATACAAGGGATTACCCACACAAAAACAACGAATGAGGTCGATTTTTTTAGCCGTTGGCTTTTATTGTTACCCTGATTATCTCCCTGGTTTGAAGGAAACTGTTTTCAACTTGTCTCTTTATTTAGTTTCAAGCAGTGTTCATGATGGCTACCCCATACTGTATAGTAAATATCGGTAGATTATTGTTGTTCATCATCTTATCGCTTGTACGCCAGCTGGCTGTGGCCATTCTCAGGCTGACCAGGGAAACTACTTTTTACATTATCACGCCTCTTGTAACAAAGAAAATCAATTTTCAAGGGAATCCAGGATACATAAAAACATTTTATATCTCCTAATACAATATAGACTCGCCCAGAGTGAACGCTACCACAAGTTGGCACCAGCGAGATTCGAAAGCCAACTGTTTAGTCAAAATCAAAGCAGTTAGCCAATTCGCTAGTGAGTTTGCAAATCAGCTGCCCCAATACTTCTGAGACTCACTGTAACACTGATTGAAATGATAACATCTGTGTACTAAATAAACAAACTGGGCAGGCAATGCAAATTGCATTTCCCAAGTGCACTAGTGCAATCCTGGGGATTGCGGAGTCAAGCTTTAATAAAAATAGCACTGATGTAATATTTTAGTGACACATGTGTCAGATCTGTAATTTATAACACATACTCATTTATATACCAGGTTATTACATGAATACCACAAATACTGCTAACCAATTTTTACCAATTTCAGACAGGGGGACTTTTATGAAATGTCAACACAAACACCCTACAAAATTAAATAGCAAACATGTCTCTCAAGTTCCAAAATTTTAACAGTTTAAAATATAAATCAAGCAAGGATAGTGTCAACTCAAAATTCCACTTCCCACATCCTAACATTTTAGAGGGATTCTCATTTTAGTATAAGGAAGGGTCTCATTTGTGATAAAGATGCAACAAACAAATAAAACCCTAGACCTTTCCATAGGGACTTACCTCAGTATTGAGGTTGTTGGAGGGTGTCTGTGACGGTGCCTGATCAGTGTGTTTTTATAAAATATTATCATCATTTACATCAAACATAAAGCAATATGCATTATTGAAACCCACCTCTTCATCTTTTTCATCATTGGCACTTTCCAGTTCACCTTCTAATTTCTTTATCACCTCTGAATTCTTCTTTTCTCTTACAGTTATCTCTTTAAGGTAGTCATCTTTTTTGGTTTCTTCGTGCGGTGTGGTTAGTAGTTTTTCAAATATTATCTCCCGAAGCTCATTCAAGTAACCTATCACTGCATTAGATTCGATATCTCGTGCCTGTCTTTCGGCCCTTACAGCATTCACTGCTGCAGGATTCGAACTGAACAGTCTCAGGATATTTTTACAGGCAAACCCAATGTGTTGTTTGAGTATTTCTATGTTTCTAGCTTTCTCAGCTTCGGCTTCAGGGTCGACAGTCTCTGATGGGGCGTCACTGGCAGCACTGCTTCTGCCACTAAGGCCTGCACTACTTCTGTAGCTGTTCGGGGTACCCCTTCTGCTCCCAGGTGGTTCAACTGTTGGTAATTCGCCTTCCGCGGGGACGGAATGGTGTGACGCTGGCGTCGTTCGACGACTTATCTGAGTTGCTGAACGTTTGGAAGATTTTGACGTTGGTCTTTCTGGCTCAGACGGAGCAACCAACTGTTGGTATGCCTTCTGTAACTCAGCATACTCCTCGATAGCTGTTACAAGCTCTCCACCAAGCACAACGTTGAAACGATCAAGATTTTCAGCTACGAAGGGCAAAAGAGTCACTACCTCGACCCGTTTTATGCTCTCCTCGTAAGCAGCTAAAATTCTCTGTGATTCGATCGTTGTCAGTTTCTTCCTCGACGGGTCCAACACACGGAGAGCGTCATGTTTTTTCTGTTTAGGCTCTCGCCTAATTTTAGGTAGCCCGGCAGCAGGTCCAGCGGTGGGGTAAATTACCGCTTCCATTTTGTCCTTAGCCGTGCCGTCAACACGTACCTTTTCAAGAAGGTGCAGCGTTTCCCTGACAGCGAAATCGGTCATGGTTCTGGTTGGTTCGCCTTTTTCAAAGTCCGCCTAGCAACGCAGTGTCAAAACAGTGCTGACAGAGTCTTATATGGTAAAAACCACGCCTGTTGTCACCGCCTCAAATGCCCATAGAGCGTGAAGAGGCTTTCTTATGATCAAAGAGACATGATAACGACTAAAAATAAATTAACAGTCAATAGAAAATCAACCGTGCTTATCTTCGTGCATTATAATGGCCGTCTCTTGCGTTGCTAAGAAGTTGTTGTGTTTGACGGACAACGCACCCATGAACCAATTGTCACCATACAACCATGAAAAAAAAGAAACCCAATTACTTTTACGCAAAACTGAGAAACCCATATAACCTAAACAATGAAAGAATATAGTTCTTTTATTATGCTTCGGTGTATGGGGAGCAATGGCATCAGTACGATATTAAACTTTTGACACGATACCTTTTTGTGCGGAATAATACGAACTTCCAATTAAAAGCAAAATGGCTGATGTTGTTGCTAGGCATGATGTCAATCCACGACCCTTGCCAAATCTCGAACAACCTGGCAAACAAGTCGAGACTTCGCGAGAAAAAAACAATCATGGCGGAACGGGAGGATATAGGTAGTCCATTACTGGAACAAACTCTGACAAGTGATGGTAATTTGTTTTATTTAATTTCTATACTATTCACTGACAATCGGTTAAAACTAAAAAATTGAAACATCACATTGATCTCCCGCTGATTATAACAGTAGTTTTGTCAATGGCAGTTTGGAGGAGGGACCGGGTCATGTAAATAAATGTCTACACATCATAGATAAGATGAAATGAGATAAGGCTTTATAGAATATTTTATTTGACTTGAAATAATGGAAGAAATTTATTGCCAAAAAACGAACAAAGTAACAAACACTGTGACAGAGAACAATAATAAAGAAAACCAGAAACACATTTAACAATTAGCATAAATTTCTAAGATTTTATGAATAAAGACTTCTAGACTGTGAAACTATATTTTGAACTCATCAGTTTCTTAAACATCATCTGTTTGAGATTGTTCTAAAAAAATGGCACCTAGCAGATTCAATCAAGATTGCAGATTGCAATCTAAGAAAGCAAAGAAACTTAGAAGTATCAAAAACTCCACACCCTGGTAGGAAGAACCCTATCCCCCCCCCCCCGACTTGGTGGCGCAGCTGAATTACAGTGCTCCCTCTTGCAGTTTTTTCAGTTTGAATTCTGAAATTTATACATTTTATAAAGATGTTATTTGAAGGCTTTAACATATATAGAAAAATATATAGACAGGAAAACTTGAGAAGAGGTGTTCATCCAACAAATCTCTTGACTTGCTTCTTATTAAATTTTGATTAATAAAGTAGGTCGCATCAGGGAGACAACAGTTTCGCATGCCATTTAATGAACTTGTTGATGCCCTAACTTGATGAAAATATCAGGGAAAATAAACCCAATTTTCACAGTCAAATGATTCTCTTGTGTATGAACACCTGAGTACACAAATAACATAGAACACTTTCCCAGGGTTTTTAAAACCAAAATCGTCATCCAACACAGGAGCCAATCAGTGATGTCCTTAAAGTGAGATCACGAATCCAGTTTCAAATTTCCTAAGTGTTCTATTAAAGTGCTTTGTGTAATTAGGTGTTTGTCGGCAAGATATTTTTCCACACCAACTGTATAATGTAAGATTGGCACTTAATTAAAAGTTTGTTTGTCATGAAAATCCAATGATTTATATTATGATTTATGAAATCATAATTTATTATTGATTCCTATGAAATTTGTTGCAAAATTGGCAGTGCACACATTTTTGCAAAAAAAATATTTTTTTTAAATGATTCAAAAGAGTGTGATAAATTTGTGTCTCTATTTGTCTTGGTTGACTGAGTGTGAACAATGTTAATCTGAAATATTCTCTACGTTTGCTAGACTCTACTCGAAGTTTGATAAATGTCAGACGCTATGTACAGCAAACTTCAACTGAGCAGCGAAAAGTTTGGGAGTTGAACTACAGAGAAGCTGCCATTTACTTACAAGAAGGTCAAAATAATGAAAAGTTTCGAACCCATCCAAAGAATCAGAATGCTGTGCCTGCTTACCTTATTGTACATAATGTCTGGTACAATATATTAGACTTGGCAGTTTCACTGTTATTGTTGATGCTGGCATTATGTGAACATCCAGCAGTAAAGCCTTTCAGACTTGATGAGATAGTAAGTAACACACGTCACTACATCACTAAGTTATCAAAATAGTAGTTACATCGAGTGTTTGGTATCAGTACTATCGTTACATGGTTTTGGTATCAGTACAGTCATTACTGGTACATTGATTTAGACTCAGTGATCACAATCTAGAGATTGAACTAGGGAGAAGGAACAAGCCAAAAATTTTGTT